TTATTAAGCCTCCATGTGTTTGGGGGCTTTTTCATGTTCTTTGAATAATTTATTTCTCTTTTCATACCTTTGTTATCTAAGAAACTCATTGGTACAATTTCAGTCTTTTTGAATTTACTGAGTTTATTTTTGTGGCCTAGTATATGATCTATTGAAAATGTTCCGTGTGCACTTGAGAAGAATGTGTATCCTGTTGCTTTTGGATGGAGTATTCTGTAGATGTCCATTCAGTCCATCTGTTCTATGTTGTTCAGTGCCTCTGTCTATTTATTTTCTGTCTGGTTGATCTGTCATTTGGAGTGAGTGGTGTGTTGAAGTCTCCTAAAATGAAAGCATTGCATTCTGTTTCTTCCTTCAATTCTGTTAGTATTTGTTTCACATATGTAGGTGATCCTGCATTGGGTGCATAGATATTTATAATAGTTATATCCTCTTGTTGGCCTGACCCTTTTATCATTATGTAATGTCCTTTGTTTCTTGTGACTTTCTTTGTTTTGAAGTTTATTTGGTCTGATACAAGTACTGCAACTCCTGCTTTTTTCCCCCTATTAGTTGCATGAAATATCTTTTTCCATCCCTTTACTTTCAGTCTGTGTATGTCTTTGGGTTTGAAGTGAGTCTCTTGTAGGCAGCATATAGATGGGTCTTGTTTTTTTATCCATTCAGTGACTCTATGTCTTTTGATTTGTGCATACAGACCATTTACATTTAGGGTGATTATTAATAGGTGTGTATTTATTGCCATTGCAGGCCTTAGATTAGTGTTAACAGAGTATTTTGACAGCCAAGGCAAAAAGGAAAATAAGGGACCCTGTAGCTTTCAGGGTTTAATATGTTTTATCAGGAGACAAATTCATTTTTTTCATGGCAGTTTATTATACAGTTGAAGTTACCATGTGTTTAAATGATATAGGCAAAGGTAGCATGTTGAATGATATCATAGTCAGTGTCTTCCTCTATAGTTTTAAAGAAAGAATAAGATTTATTTATTTATTTATGCTTTAATCTTTATTTGGCCCCTCCTTCTACTGACTTTGGGCCTCATTTGTTCTTCCTTTTCTAGTTTCATTAATTGTGAGTTTAGACTTCTTATATGGGATTTCTGTCTGGTTGATCTGTCATTTGGAGTGAGTGGTGTGTTGAAGTCTCCTAAAGTGGAACAACCCCAAGTATAGTGAAGGTTTGACACTTGTAATTCCACATAGGTCTTCCTGTTGTTCTATGGGTTAATGCAGACCAGGCACATGTTTCCTGGGGCCCCAGCTTCTAACAGCATAGATCCTAGATAGCCAGCATCATCTTCAGACCACCTTTTTCAAATCTTAGTTTACTCAGGAACTAGGAAACTGTTCTCCAGGATTATGATATGATAGATGCTTAAGTGTAGCTCTTTTATAGCCATTGACAAGAGAATGGAATATGTATTTCTTATATGTAAATGCTCAGCATACTGTATGATGTCTTTTATGAGCTATTTTTTACTTGGATTTTTTAAAAGAATCTTCAAACTGACTCTTTTTTCAGTTTCAGAGATTTTGGAATCCCAGGTGATTTAAGTTGTGCATAAAGCTAAGAAGGAGAAAATGTTACACATCTTACATTTTTGCTTCTTAGATAGTAGAGGCAAAGATTTGATGTCAAACTACTGTGGATTACTGGTACAAATCAGGCACTTTAAAGTGAATTATCACTTGAATTTTTATTGTTGTATTGATCTTCATGTATAGAGAGAAAGACTGACTCAATACTTGGATTAATTCATTTAAAGTAACTCTTCTCAAAGTCCTTCGTTTTAGGTAAAGTCCCTTGACGTAAAATCCATAATAGTTTTTCCTTTTGCCTTAATCTTAACCTAAAGAAATTATTCACACCTTCTTATTATTTTCTAATCTATAAAAATAGGGGCAGGGTCTGCTTTCTGCCCTTTTTGGGCTCCTATTGGAGGCCAGGCAGTCTTGAAGTAGAAGGAAAATAGGATCTGACCCTTGGTCAGGCCATTTTGCTAACAGTACAATAACAGTCCCAAGCAAGTTATTAACATTTTTCGAGGCTGCCCTCCCCCGTAAATGGAGACATGATAGCACCCACCTCACAGGAATACTGTAATGATAAGAGGATAATGTATGGGCATACCTGTACCCAGGTTTCTGTGATAGCTTGTAATAAAAGTGCAGAATGTAGCAGCCATTCTGCGTCACCAGCCCCAGGCACTTGGTACCAGACTTTGGTATGGATGGGGTCGTAGAGGATTCAGAGACAGGCTTGGTGCGTCTTAGGAATGTTTCAGTTGACTACATGTTTCCATCTGACATCAGAGGAACAGACTAACATTTTACAAGCCAAATTCAAAGGAGTAGATTTTCCCCAGAGCTTTCTCAAGGTTAGGCCCTTGTATCTTTTCCAGTTGAGCCTCAGTTCAGCTCCTCTGATACTTTAACAACCGACGTGCTGTAGCAAACAGTCATTTCAGGAAAGCTGGAGGAGGTTTGGTTCTTTTATCCATGGGTCCCATCAGACTCTTCTCCTGTTAGACGTCTGGCATTTTGTGACCTACAAATGAGGCTCACAAAGTTCCATCTGGGACTCTTGATATACAAGTTCTCCATTGAACCCTTTATTTCTGTGTGTTTTCTTGTCCTCTGTCTAAATCCTAAACTACATAAATCCTAGTTAGCAGACAGAAGAAGGTGGCCCTGGTTTTCCTATATATCAGGCACTAAGGTTGTAGAGAAATGAATGCCTCAGAGCTGCCTTGTGTGTGAGAAGAATGAGAATATAGTCAGGCATGTTATCTGTACTCAAGACGTTTGAGCAAGAAAACAAAGGAGCAGAAGGCCATGGGGAGGACGCGGCAGTTGGGCGTGTTTTCTCTGTCTCTGCCACCACAATTCATCTTTGCTCTGTTTTAATTTCCTCCTGCTTTGACCCTACTTCAACAATGTGAAGAGTCAGTTATCATCCCCACCTCCCCACTCTGCAGTCCCCTAAATGTTGTTAAATCTTGTATGGGAAGTTAAGCACCTTCACATCTTGGACAGGAATGGAGCCTCTGTGTGTGACCAGATCCGTCAGGGAGCCTCTGTGTGTGACCAGATCCAGCAGGACCCTTTCTGGTTGCTTAGCAGTTGGCAGCACTGAACTCTGGGATGCCTTGCCACATTCTCTCCACAGTTGTTATGGAAACTTACATTTAGAACATGGTCCTTGACACTCGTCCTTTAATTCAAAGAACCCAGCTTATAATCATTGGAGGGTGGCATGGCATCTCTGAGTACACTTTTTTAAATGTTTTCAAGAAATCACTCTTAGAGGGGAGAATCCCTCTATCCTTCTGAACTCTTAGCTGAGACCTTCTATAGAAGGCTGATTAACAAGAGAAAAAGTTTATTAATATGCATAGCTTATATATATATGCGAGATACCCAGTAAAAAGTGGGTAGCCTTATTCAAAGGGGTAGTTTAGAATTTAGGCTTAAATTCCATCTTAAATTACATGGGGGCTGCAAGGGGCTCTGGGCCTTTTAGGGGCCAGTCAGTGGTTTTTAAGAAAGATGGCTGGGTGCTTAGAAGAGCAGGTGTAAGGTGGATGGTTTGTAATAAAGTGTGTCTGGGTTTGGTGTCCCCGTCTAGTCTCTTCTCTGATGACAGGCAATCCTCCCTGGATGATGACACTCCAGAGATTCGTGACAATCAAATTCTTTTTGGAGGATCTGCTTTAGGCAGATAAGGGGAGTTCAAAGAAAGCCTGTCTCTGCATTTTCTGTTTTTCAAGTGCCCGCAGCTCAAAATAATAGGCAAAGTGGCGTATTTTGGGAGCAGCATATTATGTTAAGAACCTTTACATAATAAACAGTCTAACGCTGAAAACTGAAATATTTGAAGTCCCTCTTAAAGCATATCCAGTTTCAGGCTTAGTTCCTTAGGTCTGTGTAGGAAAAATTATATGTGTATAAGATCTGGGAATTTTGTAATAAATACTGTACTCCACCCTCACACCACAAAGGACAAAGTGAACCTGTGCAGCGCAGCCACTCTGTGGCCCTCGGTGCCGCCGTCCACCCTCCCGCCGCTGCCGGAGCTGCACAGCCACGCAGTGCAGGAGCTGGGATGTCCTCCCAGGGCGCTATTGCTAAACTCATGCTTTTTCCTTTTTATAGGAGGGATCCTTTAAATATTCTTCAGAACATCTCCTTTTCTTGCCCTTATTAGGTAATTCAAAAACAGAAGTTTGGGCTAGTCCTTCACAGGAAAATAAAAAAAAGGTAGTTTTCTGTCCCAGAATTAGCAGTGATACCTGTATGTAACTCAGAGTTAAGTATTTCTATATCCTGGGTGCCTGTTCAGTTTATTTTCTGAAGGAGAATGTGGCCTAAAAAGTTGAGAGACCACAGTTGCCCCATCTATAAAATGAGAATTCCATTCAGCTCTTGTGATTCTTGCGTGGATGCAGTCCCACCACCTTTGTGAGGATTTAGACTAAGCCAGTGCTGAGTTAGTGCTGGAGAACAAGCAGCTTCCAGTAAGTGTCGTGATTCTTGATGTAATTTTCAGTGACTTCTTTTCACGTGCTCTTGGGTTCATCCCCAGGTATACCTACCTGTACTCTCCAGCATCGGGAAATGGGTTTTTTAAATCAGTCACTTACTTGGAATCATACTGAAGTTGATTTTGAACTTCTTAGATGCAGAAGTGGCAGCTGCAGTAAATAAAATGTTTACCCGAACAGGAAAGTAGATTGCCTTGTAACTGCACGCAGAATTACTTGTTTGTACATGCAGTGACTTCGTGACCTGTTTGTGTATGTATGGTTAAAAGAAAGCTTAAAATTCACATAGTACAGGTACCTGTGAAGTTTGGAAAAGATTAGTTTTCTGGGGCTATTTTATTTTTAGCTATTAAAGTAAGTGTAGGTGATAGGGTGTATTCTACTTCGATTTTGAAAGATATTCTTTGTCATTTAAATTCTAATTTACCTTGTTATTGTATTCTTATATTATTAGGGAATATCTTGGTAAACAGCTCCAATCTGAGCAACCTCAGACTGCTGCTGCCCGAAGCTGAGCTGCGTTCTCTGACCTTGGACTCTCCTGCCTTCCCATTCTACCTGCAGCACGGACAACTGGAGTGTGAATCTTGGTGTAGTCAAGGTTAAGAACAAATAATTTTTCATTTTACTTGTAACTTCTTTTGTTGTGTAGCTTTTCCTAATGCTTATTTCGAATAAAAGTGTGCCTGTTAAGAAGTAGATGCTTTCTGTATCTAAGGAAAAATGATACTGTTACATATATTGCTTGTAGTTTCTGTATTTATTGTTCACTGGAAATGAATATCATTATTAAAGGATTCTCACTCCTACATTTTTCTCCTTACTTATTCTTTATTTAGACTTTAACAAAAATGACCTATTTTCCCAAATGCATTGGGAGAATTATTGTTGCAAAATAGTGAATAGTGAGTAAATGGTTTGAAATTATATGTATCTATATCTGTCCACTCACCCACGCACCCAAGTGTCCATCCATCCACACATACACATTGCAGCAATCCTCTGCTAGTATTTAGAGAGCTTTATATTTTTAAATTAATTTTAACACACTGCTTTGGTCCAAAAAATTTGCTGTTGGAACTCAGTGAAGAATTTTAGCTTTAGATTATTTTATTTCATTGATTTCCTATGCTTTTATTCTTGGATATTAGTACCTTGAGTCTGTTTTTCTTTTAAAACTTTTTGGTTTCAATATTGGCAATAGATATTTTATTTCTATCCCCCCCCCCTCCCTCTTTCTTCTAAAGCCACAAGCCGTCTGCAGGATCCATGGCAAGTAGGGTCCCCCACCTTCCTCCAAATCTGAACCTTCTGTTTTTTAACCTCATCAGCTGATCTGTCTCATTTTCATTTTTCAACCCTACCAGTTCTGTGAATGTCGAGTTGTTGAAAAAGTGTAGTTAGCCTAATCAGTTTATTTTGTAAAGTTTTTTTCTCCTATAGAAAGACACTCATAGGATCCGTCTCCTGTTTAAGGATCAAAGATTGTTTCATTTTCAATGTAGAAATTCTGTGGGGAAAGTTAAAATGGTGGATGTTTTTCTTGGTATGTGAGTTCATGTAACTCAATGACTCTTTGCCAAGAAAATAGGTAGTCTGATTGAATCAGTGTTTTATTGGTGGGAAGTTTTATATTTTTAAATTGCTTATACCTACATATTTTTACTCTCCAAAACATGGGAAAATACATAATTAGATGGCACTTTACTCAGTGGTAATGATAAAGGATCAGTTTTCATGTTAATGTATTAATGGTCTGTAACTTTATTGGATTTTTAAGATTCTCAGAGTTCTGGTCCAGAGACACTGCAATCTTGAATTTCATTAAGAACACATCAATTCTTTGATGTCATCCAGTCTGGTTTTAGTTGCATTTTGTATAGCCCTGTAGTTCTAATGTAGGTACCAGAGACAATCATCCTGCTGGAAATTGTTAGTGCTTGAATTCCCAAGAAGTGCTTTTGTACATGGGAAACAATACTCCCCTGTTCTCATGTTTTAATTATTATCCCATCTATTAAAATTAACTTAGGCACCCTTTTTCCCTTTACATCTTTACACTCAGCTTACAGAACTTACTTAATAACAAGTACAAAACAATCATTTTCATATTTTTCTTTGATTGATGTTCTTGATTAATATTCAGTGATTAAATCCTCCTGAAAATTTAATACCACTTACGTGTTCAACTGAACTGCAAACACGTAACAGTAGACTTATAAATCTGACAAACAAAATCTAAGTAGTTAATGCTTACAAATCTCATCAGGCATACATTTAGTAGAACCAGTTCTGTTAAGCATTTTTAAGTATCTGAAAAAGCAGCCTAAAGAAAGAGCACAATGACTACAGAATATGAAATGACACCTATAAACACAATTTACACAAAATCATCAATCATATATATATATATATATATATATCTGTATATATATGTATATATAATATATTTTCTCTGTACTTATGTTTGTATTATTTTTCTTTTAAAATCCTTTTGTCTCATTTACCATCAGTCTTTCTTCAATTTGTCAGAAATAATTTCACTAAAAATACAAATATGTTAGAAAAAACTTGATGTAAAATTTAGGTAGCGTTTTATTGGATTTCCTGTTGAGAGCACAGTAAGTTCTACAAAATTTGACTATCTGCTAATAATTTATGTCAAAATTAGCCCTGTGCAGGTATGCACAGGAATTTTACAAAAAACAAAAACAACTTCAAGATTTTCAGATCTGAAGAGATTTTCATTAAAGGTAAAATGAAGTCAGGTCTTGCTTTTTGGGAAGCCTTTTTTGGGTCCCACATATTTTAGAAGGTGTGAAAAGGGCAAGTGAAGCTTGTTCCCACACATGGCACCTGGCTGGTCACAAAAATGAGATTTATAGAATACATCCAATTAAAACTCATCTCCTTCCCTTCATATTTAGCCACATGAGAATAGTTGAAGTTAATTTTCATATCATTAAAATTTAATTTTGTAACCTCTGGCTGTCAGATCTTGGAAAACACAGAGCCAAGTTTTCATACTTTTGATTTATTTGATAATTGCTTAAAAGGTTCTCTGTTCTCATTCTTTGCCTTTGAAAATAGAGAATATGTGAGATTAAATTTTGAAACCACTCAAGGTTAGTGGGTGTTAAAGTTACTTTCCAAATCTGAACCTTGTGATGAAATCATTTTTTCAGTTTGAAATTTCTCTCTTGTTTTGTTGTACAAAATGTTCTAGTTAGGAGATGTGGGCTCCTTTAACTTCCCTGAACAAGTTTCGAATAGAAAAGTCAGTTGGAGAGAAGAGTGAGTTACAAATACTGTTTTGCTATTTCAATACTTACACACATCTGACGAGTTTACATTCTTTCAGTTTGAAAAGAGAAAGAGTGTTGATTATTCTTCCAAGAACAGAACATAAGTGGAAGAAATCCTTCTCTGACTGAAGGAACACTGGCTCTAAACACTTTACCTCCTAGTAGCTATCTACGCCTTTGTCTTTTTCCCCTCTTCAAGGAAGAAAGAAGAAAACAGGGAACTTGGTTGAAGTACCCAGTGTGTGAAGATTACTGAGTAACAGTGTAACAGGTAGAAATGAAATATTTGGAACAATAGCACAAAAGTTGTAGGGGGAAGAATGGAATCATACTCTTGTAAGGTTTTTACATAAAGTGGTATAACATTAATATAAAGTAGACTGTGATGAATTAAGGATGCATATTCAATTCCCTAGAGCAATCACTAAAACAAAGGTATAAAGAGCTAGTAGTGAAGATAAAATGGAATTCTAAAAATACTTGGTTAACCCCAAAGAAGGCAGGAGAAGTGGAACAAAGGAAAGAGGGGACACAGAGAAGGTAGGGAGAAAACAGACTAACCCAACAACAGTCACATTCCCAGTCGGGGGCAGGGACACCCACCAGTTGTAAATACCACTCAGTGCTACCACCACCAGGAAACCATTGCTTCTAGTTCCCAAGATTTGGGAGCACGGGGTGTTCTGGAGTGTTGGTTTGTTTCTATCACTTAACCCCGTCAACCCCTGTGCAGACTTTTAATCAAGTAGAAAAGCAGAAACCTCACTCGGTTCATTGCCCTTTGGCTCTCCAGCTTCCAAAATGTTCTTGATAGCATTTGCTGTCATCATTTGGTCCTTTGTGGGTTTAATCCTTTTGTTTTTTGTTTCTTTTTTTATCCTCTGTAGCCTTTCAGGTGGGGCTTGGGGAGGAAGCAGCAGAAGTAAATGTGTGTGTTTAGTTCACTGTGTTTAACCTCAAGGCCCGAAGGTGGTGTTTTTAATCAAAGCTTATGTTTAAGATCCATATTAGAATAAGCCTAGATTAAATTTGGGGGCAAGAGGGCAGACACGCCAGAGTGTATGGGCTCAGTTGGGACGATTTTGGAGTTTGTCTTTTCTAGCAATGCTTAGTATCTGAAGTTTTGAGAATTAAAATTAGTATGTGTAAAAGGATTGAAAGCATTGTAATAATTACATGTGACTATTTTACATAGAATGATAAATATCTTGCTTCTTTTTTATTTATACCAGTGACAGGCAACCTGTTTTATTGCAAACAGCTTTAGTTAGAATGTTTTCTCACTTTGTGCCAGTATCAGTTCCTAGTAATTTTCAAAATTTGGGTCAAGTTCTATCTTTGGAATAACACCAAACAAATCTTATCCTTTAGATTATACTTTTTCTTAAAAACCTTTACTCTAAAATAAATAATTACTTTTGTCATTTAAAATGTTTCTGTTTGGTGAACATTTTAGATCGCATTTAGAAAGGTGAAGCAAATGTCGTGGTGTGTAAGCCAGCTGAAACCCTCCAATGGCAAAAAAGAGGATATGAAATCACTTTATTATGATTTCCTATTGAGTGTAATTGACATCTATATTGGTTTCAGGTGTACAAAATACTGATTCAGCAATTATATATGTTACAAGATGCTCACAGTGATAAGTATAGTCACTGTCACCATACCAAGTTATTACAACATTACTGACTGTATCCTCTAGGCTGTACTTTTCATCTCTGTGATTTTTTTTATTTTGATATCATTAATCTACAATTACATGAAGAACATTATGTTTACTAGGCTCTCCCCTACCCCAAGTCCCCTCCACAAGCCCCGTTACAGTCACTGTCCATCAGCATAGGAAGATGTAGAATCACCACTTGTCTTCTCTGTGTTGCACAGCCCTCCCTTTTCCCCAACCCCCCACATTATACATGCTAATCATAATACCCCCTTTCTTCTTCCCCGCCCTTATCCCTCCCTACCCTCCCATTCTCCCCAGTCTCTTTCCCTTTGGTAACTGTTGGTCCATTCTTGTGTTCTGTGATTCTGCTGCTGTTTTGTTCCTTCAGTTTTTCCATTGTTCTTATACTCCGTAGATGCATCTCTGTGATTATTTATTTTATAATTGGGAGTTTGCACCACTTTATCCTCTTCACCTGTTTCCCCCATCCTCCTCTATGGTAACCACCAGTTCTCAGTATTTAACAAAACCACTTTAAAGCAAGGCATTTGCATGTTAGACGTGGCCCTCTGAAGCCTGCTCTAAAGAGAGCAGTCATTCCCTTAATCGCCACAAAAAGAGTGGTTCTGACAGGGCTGTGTGCTTGTGCAGGGATGTGGCCTTGGTGGCACTCTGCGACCCTCTGCACCAGCACAGCTGACCCACAAGCAGCAAATCAGGAGATGGTGGACCACCTGCATAAGGTGGCCAGGCCAGGAGGGAGCTCAGGAGGATGGACCCAGACCTCTCTTCTAAGATGTTGGCATATAAGGCTTACATGAAAATAACAGAGAGTGAG